ACCTCCCAAAGAGGTCGTGACCCACGGGTTGAGAACTCCTGGCCTAGGACAGAGTAAAAGCTCTATAAGAAGTAGCTTTCACATTATTTCCCCTAAATACATACATATACATCCCTTTATAAAACACACAATGAAAGATGATCTCAAGCACATATTCCATAAGTTGCAAAATACACATTACCTCAGAACCTTCCTTTCCTGGCTTTTCTTTGCTGAGTTCCCAACCACGTCTGTCTTTTCTGCCTAACTCCACTGTGACATTTTCTTTTCCAATGCTATTGCCATCAGTTGCCTTATACTTAGTTTTAGAATACCATGGGGGAAGGGGGTGTAAATAATTTTTATAGATTGTTTTTCTTTTAAAAAGTAATGTATATTTGAAAATTCTTTTGAAACTTAAAATTTGTGAAGTTGAAAATGGGGTAAAAAGTAAAAGATCCCATTATCATTATACCCTCAGTGTTAATAATAATGTTTGTGGAAATATGTGTCTGTAAATGTGCATGCATTACTAGGAGAGAAAATGGAATTACATCATATCATGTGTTGCAATTTTTTTCACTTAACAAAATCTACATTTATTTCACTCATAATTATTACCTACCTTAAACCAGCCAGGCAGTTGTAGGTCCTGGTTACCCAGTATTGCATGTGGTCATTATGAACACAGCCTTCATGGAGTTTATATATACTTTCAAATTCTTATGCAGTGGTCTGTTTCACTCCCTACTTATTTGTAATGATATTCTACAAATGCTCCATCAGTAACATCTAGGTTGTTCCTAGTATTTCCGTAAGGAAATGATATTACATTGAATAGCCTTATTCTATGTCATAGATGGTTGTTGAACTGTTTCTGTAGGATTAATTCCTACAGGGGAGCTTGCCAATTTTCACTCTAAAAAGGTATTTTGTTTTGTTTTACCAAATTATATACCTACCAAGAACATATGGAGATAGGTATTAAAAATGGGGGTTTTATGAGTCTATGGTATTTGCCAAATTAAGGGATAATGAATTTCACATTAATTTTCATTGCATTAATCATCAGGGACATAAAAATTTTAAATATCAAATAATTTATTCCTCTTATAAATTATTTTGTGTCACTTGTCTAGTTTTCAGTTTAGCAGAGTCCTCAAACATGTGATAGCATTTTTACAGTCTAGAGACCCTTATCAGACTATCTGACACCAATTTGATAATCTGGCCACTTTTTTGCCTCTTCCATGTTTCGTAGCATTCAGACTATGCTGTGTGGAGCCCTTGGAGTTCTTGAATGCCCTCCAAGGCCTTACAGGAACCTGGGACCTGGCCCAGCCTCCACAGCAGAGTTTGCTATTCTTTATTTATTGGGGTTTCACTAAAGATTGTGGTTTAAAAAGGGTTCACTTAGGAAACCATTGCTCTCTCCTGTCAACTGTTGTTTCTCAGATCATATTTTCCTAAGTTAGAACCCAAGGCTTGCATGCTCCTGGTAAGCACCCCCCACCCTCACCAAAGGATGCCTGTTGGTAGCCTTGATAATATTTGCACGTTAACACGAATCTGGAATGAGGTGCTAATCTCAAGTGCTCTTATAGCAGAGCCTAATTCAGATTCCTTTTCTTCCAGTTCCTTGGCTGAGATTTGTGGCGAGAACCGCACTGTAGACATGAGGAGCCTGTCTCCCTCTGCCCTTCCCTTACTGCTAGCATTTGACAACTTATAGCTTAGTCTGCCCTAAGACATGGTCCCACACCAGCCTCTACAGGTGTCTGAGAAGAAATGTCTTAGGCCATTAGTATAATCCCAGTTGGCATACTACTTCCCACCGATAAACTCAACTTTTTTGTATTTACTTTAGCATGCCAGTACCTGAAAAATGCAAGGAGTTTAAAGCATGTTTTTAAAAAGTACTCTCTGAGTGTTGTGCAATCATTGCCGCTATCTGGTTCCAGAAGGTTTTCATCATCCCCAACAGAAAGTGTTCTCATTGTTACCTCTTGTGCAGCGGCTTCAGTGCTCTAAGGCTAGCATTTGTGAACTGGAAAAGCCAGCCCTTTAGGACCATCTGTTGCCTGCCCGCCAGCCTGCATACTATTTCTTCAGTCTGTTTTTTTCCTTGTTGATAAAGAACAGTGTCCTACTCATAGCACTCTTAGTGTATTTGAAGATAATTAAATCACTCAGTAACTATTATTTCTTAGTGAAACAACACAGCTCCTTTAACTTCTTTACTATTTCTTTTTAATCATTTTTGTTGGATTTTTCATTATTTCAGCCTCTTTAAGACAAAACTGGACATGATAGTGCAATAAAAACCTAACCAACAGGGAGCAAAGTAAGATTGTAACCAGCTAGCCCTGATTCTGTCCTTTTGTTCTGCTAAGGCAAGTGAGTGGTCCATTTCATACTGGGACAGGGAGAGTACAGAGGGGAATTTGCTAATTGCCTCAAGGGTTGTGGAATTCAAAGGGAATAGGTTTCACTCACATACCTCCATTAATGTTTAAGTGCATATTTTGAGCTGTCTGCATCCTATCATATGTTAAGAGAAAATCCGGGTCCCTCCCTGTAAGGTGTCCAGCAATCCCTGGAATTGATGTGGCCCTCGGGAGCCTTCTGTCCAGAGAGGACAGCCAACTGAAGAACTAGTACTGAAGTTTTGCCTCCTTGGTCAAGTTTACATGGTTTGCATTTACAAGTGCCTATGCATTATCTGACTTTATCAAAACAAGGTTCTTGGGGCTGTACTATGGCTCAGAGATACAGCAACAGACACTAGGGCTATGACATCAGTTCCCAGAACCATACATAAACATACAAGGCTCAGTGTATTCTTACAACTTTGTAACCTTTTTGTCATTCTCTGGCTGCTGTTAATAGCCATTCACGTACATAAGCTAAAACCTTGGAGTTATCTGTCATTGATTTTTCTTTAACATCCTTCCACCCCATCCCTTCCAGGAGCTAATTACTAAGCCCTTTTGATTAAACTCCTTTAATGTCTTTTTTTCCTTTTCCCACTCCTAACTGTGTCAAAAGCTCATCCCTATGTAATCTTTAGCAATACTCACCTGGATTTCTCTCCACACATGAGTTTCACCATCATCTTCCCAAATTGTTTTTCTAAAGGACTTATCTGATCATTTCTTATCTTCCTACTAAAAAGATAGTGAATTTAAGTTACCTAGTACAGTAACTCATTGTCTCCAGAGTAAAATTCTCCCTCAGTCTGGCACGTAAGGCCATTGGTGCGATGGTGGCCTCACCGTGCCTTTCCTCACCTGCCATATGAAACTCCTGGCACACAGAGTGGATGGTGACGTGTCTCTGTGGGCATCTTTCTGCAACCAGAAGAGGACAGTGTTAGGAAATAGAGGAAAGCCCGTTTCACTCTCCCCACCTAATTCTAATCCAGGGGGCTGCAAAGAAAGCAGCGTCTTTGGGGAAGAATCGGGTCCTAGTTTCAGGAAGGAAACTGAATGTGTTTGCAAACAGTCAGGCAATTTGCTAGCTGAACTTCTAGGACCCAGACGAGAAAGGGTCACTGGGCCCGGGTGAACTGGGGAGGTTTTCCAGAGCCACAAATTAATACAAAAGGAATGGGGAAAGATATTGAGAAATTTGGAGGAGAGTGTCTTTCAGTTTGTGCCTGGTGATCTGTGTATTTCTGAGACCCTGATAAATGTCTGCTGAATAATTTATTCAGGTGCCTTTTCACTCTGTCCTATTAATATATTACTTGTTTAGTACCTCTGTGTTGGCATCTCCACTAGGCCTCTTTCTGTTTTATAAGCCAGGCTCCAATTTCTCAAGAAAGACCTAGAGAATCTTTACTATGTATTAGCGCTTGGTGATTTGTAGTGCAAATGCATGGTGCCTTTATGAGAGAGTAAGACACATGGAGGCGACATACTATCTTTTTCTCATGGTACCCAGACTGAATAACTACGTCCTGTCAGGTATAACCTGGCCAAATTGGAGAGATTCTGTGTGGAGACTGCCGTGTTGTCCTCTTACTTGTCATTTCATGCATCACATGCATTTTTTATGTGAAGGAAGGTGATCTAATAGAGCCCTGACATTGAGTGAAGAGTAGAATCCAGCCTAGAGTGTTTCCTGGACCTTGTCTTCTCCAGTTACTCTCCACTTTATTTTGTTCAGACAGAACCTCTTACTGAACTTTGAGCCTACTGATTCAGCTAGATTGGCTCACTAGGAAGATCTAGGGACCCACCTGTCTCCCTCCCAACTCCAGCACTGGAGGTATAGGTACTACTGCAATGCTTAGCTTTTTTATGGGTCCCGGGGATCTGAACTCAGGTCCTTGCGCTTGAACAGCGAGCACTTTTCTGACTGAGCTGTCTCACGATCTCCAGTTACTATATAATCTAGAAGGGAATTGAATTAAGGCCAACAAGGCAGCAGTGTGGCATAGCTCAACTAGAATGTAATTTGTCTGTCTTTCCTAAGTAGATTAGGCTCTTGGAGTTGAGTATAAGTGAAGATTATATATATGCCACCTTCATCGCTGTTAGGCGATTAATTAACATCTTAGAAACAATGCAGTGCCTGGACACTTTCTGGACTTCTTCTATGTACCCCTTACATTATCATAGGTTATCATAGCTCAGTTCTGAGTCAAACCTTTATGACTCCAGAAACTGAAATAACTTATTAATAGCCAATGGCAAGTCAGTGCGGTTGAGACGTTAATCTAGATCTTCAGAAGACCATCCCCGTCTACCTGATCTGCCAACTAGCACTTGCTTTCTGGGCACACATGTCTCAGCCCATCTATCTGCCCTCACTTTCTGTAGATTGGCTCAGCTTTTTTGTGGTGTCTACTAGTCATCGGGTCTCTTTTCTGACCTTCTGCCCATGTATCCTGAATGTGCCAGCAAAGCTCTTTCCCTCTCTCTGACAAAACTGCCTGACCAAGAGTCCTAGGAATCCATTCCTCACCTTGGGATTCTGTCAGTGGCAGGAGCCTCAGCTTCTCCCCACTTTTCCAGATACAGGGAGCGACCAGACAAGAAGTATCCAGAGACCGTTTCTGAATGCCGAGTTGTCCACTAAGGATCCCAGCCTGCTTCATCTAAGACTCTTCCCTCAAACGGTCCTCCTCCAGCCTTCCCTCTGGTCTTTGGACTCGTTTGAGAAGATAGTTCTGCGGTCACGTGCAGTTTTCTGTCCGTTCGAATGTCCTGCAGACGATAGACCTTCAGCCAGCTTCCTTCAGCTGCACTCTTTCACTATTCCCCTTCCAGGTCAGGTTTTCACTCTGCTCAGCTTTGCCCTTCTTTAGAGGATGTTTTCACCTTTGCAGCGGCTGCCACCGCCAATTAGGTTCTTCCTGTGTGTGTGCTCACCACCCTCTGTCTTTCTTCACTCTAGGCTGCTTAGGATTCTGGGCATCAGCACAACCAAGGTTGTATTTTGTTGCATGCAAAACTTCAATTGTTTTTTCAGTTTTGATCTTTACAGGCCCAAGTTCTAGAACTGTGAAACTAAATCATAACAAAGCATCTTTGCCCTTAGATTGTTCCAGAACCCTCGTGGCTTTGTTTTTTTCCCTCTGATAGTAGCACTTTATCATAGAATTTTATCCTCCAAACACAGATGAACCTTGGTCAAGGAGCATTGCTCTTCCTGTTATATAGAGGGTTAGTGCAGAGAGGTGGCCTGGCCCTGGGTTAAGAGCCTGTTGGCCTAGCCTCCTCTCCAGGAAGTCACAAGTGAGAGGAAAGGCAGCAGCTAGCTTGTGCGAATGAAGACCAGCCTGTGCACAGCTTCTGGTACTTCATGGCCAGTCTGAGCAAAAGGTCAAGAGTGGGAATACAGGGGAAAGATGCTTTCTCTGGCTGAGTGTGTGCAGTTAGGTGGCCAGGAAAGCCAGTGTCTAACACTCAGATTCACGCTGCATCTGCCAGTAGGCTGCTTGCAGAATTCCTATGGGAGTTCTTCCAAACACACCCTGCTCCATAGACATAGTGAGAACAGTATAAATTCTGTTGGCTCTGCATTATTTAAATCATGCTTGGTCATTCATTCTCATAAAATCTGGAATATGATTTATTGTTTCTGTATTATAACTTTGCTGGTGTTTGAAATAGGAAAAATTTTATAACCAATTAAGGTATTGTTCCTCTCAATCATGTGTTAGCACATACTATAAATTTCAGAATGTGTTTTTTCTTGCATTCTGTTCAATATGAAAGGCAGAATCAGTATTTTTCTTACCATTGTTAAAATGAAGGGACTAGGGTGCTGCTCTTCAGTAGAGCTCATGTTTGGCATGAGTTGATCCCCAAACTTCACCCCCCAAATTTTGAAGTTACTTATTTCAAAATAGCTTATAAAATTTCCTTGCACAATATTGGGTAATAAAATACATTAATGAACTAAATATCTAACTAGATACTACAGAGTATATAAGTTTTTGTGAAATTACCAGGTTCTGCCTGAAAAATCTGGTTTATGTGATGCTAAGTGCATTAAAACATCATTATATGTTCACTTGTAATGCTACACTTTTCCTAATAGTTTCTTCTGTCTTTTCCTTTTCCTCACATTTTAAATTTCAAGCATTTATTAGGGTGACTACATGGCCATATATATGTATTACGGAATAAGACTTTCAGTGTTTAGGTTAGAAAAAAAGCACACTTTGCTGGGTTAATATCACCATTCGGGAGGCAGAAGCAAGCTGATCCCTGTGAGTTTGAGGCCTGCCTGGACTGTAGAGCAAGTGCCAGATAGGCTCCAAAGCTACGCAGAGAAACCCTGTCTTAAAAAACCAAAAGAGAAATAAGACAGCACACTTCATCTCTAAGATGATGCCTGTGACTGCAGCCCAGGGTCGCACAGGACTGGGGAGGCAGTGCAGTGGTGTAGCACGCAGACCGCAGGACAGAGAAGACAGTGTCTGCAGTAGCTTGTGACACCTGCACAATTTCATAATTATGTTTAGTAGTTTTTATTAAATATAAATATAGCATAGAGATAGCTTAGCTTTTTTTTTTTTTTTTTTTTGGTTTTTGTTTGGGGTGGAGGGCAGGGTCTAATGTAACTCTGGCTGGCCTGGAATTGGCTGTTTAGACCAGGCTGGCCTTCAACTCCCAGATCCACCTGCCTCTGCCTCCTGAGTATAGTGCTGGTACTAAAGGCGTGCACTACCACACCCAGCTGAAGTGCCTTGGTTTAAAAAATTAAAACATGCTCTGAGGGAAAAAGAATCTTAATTCGAAGTTGAAATTGAAAAAACAAAACAAAAGCAGATCTTGGAGACTGGTAACCCAATAATGTAAATATATACTCCCCGGTGGTAAACTCTGAAGTAGTGGGGTGGTGAATGTTAGAACTTACACTTTTCTCATCATCACAAAAGGAGCCAATGTAAGGACGTGAAGTTTAGAAACAGTGGTTACCTTTTGCACAAGGTTCCCGGCTGGCACTGCAGGGAATGTGCAGTGTGTCTGAACAGGACAAGTCCAGCGTGGTGGTGAATTTGGTTTCTAGCAGACGGCAGAGCAGAGAGGTTGTGCTTTCCCTTCTCATGCTGGTACACCCAGCGTCTAGAGCAGGGATCCATGCAGCAGCCTCATTCAGGAGACTGGCGGTGGAGACCTCCTGCTTGCTGTGCTGGCCCTCAGCATTCATGCCTCCCATGAAGGCAATGTTGCCACCAGCAGTGTGCCATCCTGAAACATACCTGCTTTAAACAACTTCACTTCCTACCTTCTTTGTTTCCACCTCTGCTCACTGAGGCTGACAGATGAGGGGGCAGAGAAGTCACTGGTTACCTACGTGCCACTGATTCCAGTCGCACACAGATGGCTGTGGCTGGGCGGATGACGAGCCTACTGGCCCCGTCTTTGGTCCTTTGTCTCAGCTTGTTTTCCCTTGTGAACCCCATTCATAAAGTAATTCCAAGGAGGAAACTGAAAGCTGGTTTCTGGTCAGACACTAAAGAAAGCTTTTTCTCAGAGAGAACCTAGCCAGAAGATTATCTTTAGGACATAGCCAGTTCTCCTTCCTGTATGCTTTGTGAATTATTTAAGAGTGTGGAATCAGTTTTCTTTCCCATTTCCAAAGAAGTACTGTTTGCTTTAGAGGTGATGGCAGTGGATGATTCGTGGTTTGTTTTCTTGTGCAAGTTACAGTGCTAACTTTGACCCTGTTTCCATTAGGAGATGAAAACATGGAAATTAAAAAACAAATTACAGGGATGAGAAGATTACTGAATGACAGCACTGGGAGGATATATCAACGTGTTGGCAAAGAAGGAGAAAAACTAAAAGAAGAACCCCAGGATTTGGAGTTAGTCTGGCCTCAGCATTTGAACTCCTCTGCCGAGGCCCCCCAAGGTCTCCATCCTCCTTCACGTGGGGCATGGAATGAACTACCCACCCAAAGTGGGCAGTTCTCAGGGCAGCATGGTACACGTTCTAGAACCTTCCAGAGTCAGCCCCACACCTCTGCAAGTTCCAATGGTATGATTGTCCATCATACAGAATATCCTTGTGGGCAGGTATCCTGGCTTGTTTTATTCCTAAATATTGAGTGTGTTCTTTGAGATCAGTTTATGAAAGCCTCCGTTAGTCCCCCACCTAACCGGGTTGTTTTAATGTTTAGCGTGGCACTGGGGCTCTCACACGGCTCGGCAAGCCCTCTCTTCTACTCATCAGTGCTCCACCCCTTCGCCTTGTTGTGTTTTTTTTAAGGCAGCAGGGGAAGACGTAAAAAGAAAGTCTACGTGTGCAAAGCTCCAGACTTGACAGGAAAGTCAGAGGGTCTGCGCTAAATAAAAGCAGGCTCCTGGTAGAGTTTTAACGAAGTAAGACTTCTTGTCTATCCGTGCACAGAAGAGGCTGGGCACGAATGCAGCAGCCGCAGCCCCCGTTAGCACTGATAGGAACTCCCTGGTGGTGTGCAGTGTGGCTAATGCATGCTCTTGCTCACCCTTGCTTCACCTCACCATCGGGGAGGCCTAGTTAGAGAGGCCCCACCGCTCTGCGACTCTCTCCTACAGCTCTTTCTTTCACTGGCATCCCAGTGCAGACACTCATGCTGAGAAGCAGGCCTTTAAAGCGGTGTTTCTCAACCTGTGGGTCACGACCCCTGCAGGAGAGGTTGAATGACCCCTTCACAGAGATTGCCTAAGACCATTGGAAAACATGGATGTTTACAAAACAATACAGAGAACCCCTGTCTCGTAAAAACAACAACAACAAAAAAAAAACCAATTCTTTACAGTGGCAAAATTACAGTTATGAAGTAGCAACAAAACAATGTTATGGTTGGGGGTCACCACAACATGATGAACTATATTAAAGGGAAGGTTGAGAATCACCGCCTTAAAAATCTCTGACTGTTAAGTGGGGAGTAGGGTTCCAAAATTATTCAGAGCTTAAGGGAAATAATTGATGCTTTTCTTGGCAATATTAATTTCTCATCAAGTGACATTGGATGTTACTTGGTTTATAAATTATGTATGGCCATGAAGATCTATAGTTTACACAAAGAACAAATGAAAAATAAGGCGTTTCGGATTCCTTGAAAAGTTAAGGATTTTCTTCCCTTCGTTTTCATTTTATGATGTCCTTTGGTAAAAAGAAAATGTTTTGTTTTTTTTTTCTTAAACACAATTCACAGTAACCAGTTCAGGGGACTGAGAAGCCATCCTGAGACACTGATGAGACAGTAAGGGACCATAGAGATGTACGGTGTCTTCTCTCAGTATCACATAGGCAAGTATCAAGTTCACATGCTGGCAGGGTTCCAGGATAGAGGACGGTTGCTCTTTAAATGCTCTTCCATAAAAGTAAAAGTCAGTTCTCTTTAAAATTGGAAAATGATTTATAATGAGCCAGGAAGGGCTAGTCTTGTCCTCTAAAAAAATCATAATGATAGTGTTGAGATTAGTGCCTAGGAATATTCTGTAAAGCCCTCTTAACTCTGGTGCCAATAAGATTAAAAAAAAAAAGGGGACCTTTTGGGCATATAAAAGTGTGACCCTCCCACATCAGTGGTTTGAAGGTAACAAACTCACCAATATTCAAGAATACTGGATTTACTTTAGAAACTGTTACTAATAATGAAAGCTACAAAAAATTCCTTCAAATGAGAGTCAAAATAGATCAATTTATGTTTCTTGTTAGCATTATTCCAGTAAAAATATATTATACAAGGGGCAGAAGGGAAGAGTTCAAATTGTTGAAATGTCTGTCACATAGTGTGGAGACCTGAGTTCAAATCCCCAGAACCCACATAAAATCCAGGTGTGGCTTCTGTAATCCCAGCACCAGCAGGGTGAAGTCAGAAAGAACATATAGGCCCATCAATCTAACCAGATCAATGCACTCCAAGTTTATTGAGAGACCCTGTCTCAAAAAACATTGGAGAGACAAGGAAGACAGCTGACACCAACCTCTGCCCTCCACACACCCATATGCATATTCAAATGATTTTATATTTCTATATATATTCACATATATACTCACACTCACATACCATCCACACATAGAAATCTAAAATGTGTTATACAGTTGACCCTTGAATAACATATGTTAGAATTATGCACTTTTGACTGTAGTAAACTATTTTGTAGAGATTTGCAACAGTTTGTGCAAACTCACAGCCTAGAAATAGTGAAAAATTATGGGAAAGTTAGACATGGCATCAGTGTATAAAATATGTAGATAATTTCTCTTATTATTTACCATTACCATTTACTACCAACATGCATATACAACCTAGGCACACAAACCTTATAGACTATCATGATGTCATCTGCAGTTAGGAGAAATTTTAGCAAATGTAATATTTAGCTACCTCCTGTTCCCACTGTGGGGAATTAAAAGTGAAGGGGATCTTCGCCTTCGCTTGAGACTGCGCCCTGCCCACCTCCCAGAGCTGCTCAAGGATCACTAGGATATAGCCATGACTGCCATGTGTTTCTTTGGGATAGTTGGTGATTCTATAGCCGAGTCATCTCCCTTTGCTACCATTTGAATGTTAATACCTGCACTGTCCAGAAGTAACCTTTAATTCTTTTGTGGTTTTGCTGTGGTAAACTTCAGTATGTAAATAATGAGTGCTATAGGAATTGTATTATGTCACCTGTCTGTCAGAAACTTAGGAAGTAGCTGCCCCTTAGACTGCCCTGATTCATGGTAGCTACCCTGGGGCTGGATAGGTTCAGGTGCTATTTCAATTCATGGACAGTGGGGACATTCTAGTGCATATTTAGGGGGAACAGAGGAGAGTAGCTTTGATAAGGGAAGTGCGTTAAATGTAAACAGTGAGAAGGAGACTGGTGATGAGGATTCTAACAAGCATGGTGGAGAAAAGAGGGATAATCCTTCATGAGACACCACTGAACCTTCAGGCAAAGTGCTGTCCCCTCCCACCCTGCCTCCTGCTTCTCCCCCACCCCAGCCAGAGAGTATTGCAGAAGTTCCTGTGTATCCACAGCTCTTCATTATTGAAACGACACACTTGCCAGTAAAACTAATTTTCATTAGGCTGGTTTGGTTCTAATATGAACTTCACAGCATGCATGTAGTCAGCGGTGGTTTTGTAAGACCGATGCAGAGCTGGGATTGTTTTTGGCTTTGCTTTTGCTGTTTGAGAAAGTAGCATGAGGGCTGGAGAGATGGCTCAGCCATTAAAGGATCACAACCAAAAATCTAAGAGAAAGCAGCATGAGTGTTTATCATGACTTGTCAGAGTATCGTTATCCATGATGAACCGACCTCACAGTAGACGTGCCTGCCTTAGCAGTGCATTGTATGTATGCGTTCACACAGATCCTGCTACCTGTGTATAACGCAGCGTGCACCTTACAAACAGAAGGCTGGGTAATTAAATAAAGTCAGACCCCAAAATTCAGGTTGTGAAAATTACTAGGTACATTTTCTTCTAGCACAGTTTGAAGATAATTGTACATATTTCAAAATCCTGTCAAGATACATTTTTTCCTTTTCTTTATAATTATTTTTTGCAAGCTTTGGGAGTATATCATTCTTTTCTTTCATGCTTAGGAGAACTTCCAGGGGCGAACTCATCAGCTGGATCCAGCTGCTGCACTTGTAACTGCCAGTCAACATTGCAGGCCATTCTCCAGGAACTCAAGACCATGAGGAAGTTAATGCAGTTTCAAGCAGGTACAAAGATCAGCGCTGCAAATGCATCCTTTGACTGTGAATGTGTATCTGCCATCTTCCGTTGTGTGCAATGCCCTTTTGTCCCACACCCCTTCCCGCCTTGCTATGCTACTGTGCCTTTTCAGGTATTCATCTTCTTGACTCTTCTCAACAACCTGTGATTTTGTCTTGTTTTATTTTTTTAGCAAATCAAACAGATTTTTTTTTATTGTCCCTAATACTGCTGTCAGGGTTTATGCACATGAACTCAGCGTACTTCATCCCATGATCTCCTGGTACTTCACAAATGCCAGTTAATTAAATTTTGGAATATCTTATGTGAAAGAGTCCTTCAGGAAATGCAGGCTTCCCTGCTGAAGATGCTCGAGGGCATGAGCAGATGAGAAATGGTGAGCCATGGGCTCTGCCTGTGACTTTTCCGCTTGCATCGGGATGTGGTAATCAGGCATACCTCCCGTCTGGCCGCTCCCCTCACTTGACTCTGTCTGGTCTCTCTGTCATTGGGTAAGGTGAACAGTGGGACAGGGCATGTAGAGCTGGGGATTGAATTCCCAGTTCCTCACCCTCTAGCTGGATGGCTTCTAGGCCTCCCCATTCTCACCTGTGAATGAAGCAATAATGTCTGATTTGTGGGGTTGTTTTTCAATGTGAAGGAGACAGCGATAGTGAGATTTCTGGAAGGCAGGATGCACACCTCTCTGTTCTTTTAAAGGCCCACAGCACTTTGTAGAAGTTTGGAAATCAAGGTTGTGGCTTATTTTTCCGATTTTCACAATTAGTAAGAAAATTGGAACCTTTATTTTTGTTACATATGCAAAAAAATAACAAATCTCTCCTGGTGGGGAAGCTGCTGGTAGATGTTAGTATGGGAAAGTGGGAAAGCAGCCTAGCCGGGTGGCAGTGGCCCTTCTGACTCTCATCATGGTTGTGCTCATGAAGCCAACACTCAGAAAATGCACTTGGTGCTAGTTGGAGCATTCTGTAAAACCCTTACATCCCATGATGTGGTTTTGATATAAAAAACTTAATACTTAGACATATCAGTCACCCACAATCAAATTTTTAGAGAAACCAAAAGGAGTTCTGGGAAGTATATTTTTAAGGACTGAATTTGGTCTTACCCCAAGGCAAAAATAAGCATTTTGTCAAGTCAGTAAGCACTTGGCTCACCTCATTCCTCCGTGATACTCTGTATCCTTATCAGCCTGGCAGAGTCGCCATCTCCTACATAAGGGCCTCGGAAAGAAAGGTTACTTTATTCCGTAGATGCTGTTCACAGAGAGGGAATCTGTTAGTACTTAAGAAAATATGCATATGAAATTGTAATGATTTATTTTGTTACTTAAGCTCCTTACCACTGAAATGGCAAACTACAAATTACACCCCTGTAAATCCTTGACTGGAGTCTTTTTAGAATCTATTAAGTAAATGCCATTTTGTCACCATGTTTTCTCTTCTGAACCTTTGCAGATTAGTGAGGCAAATGATTCCAGAGCTATGGAGAAAAAAAGGATAAACCGAATAAATGACTCTCCTTTAATTTTCTTAAACTTAAAAATTCATGTTGTGTAGGCAGATTTACTTGGGGTTTATTGCCCATGAGACTTAGATTTAACTTCTATTTTGAAAGGTTCACCTTTATTTTACAGGAAGATGAGGACTTAGATCAAGCAGCTAAATTCTGAGTGCAGGAAAACTGGACTCTTTCAAGACTTGCAGGAGAAGCAAGACTTAGTAACCCTGTCTGAACACCAGAAACATCTCAGTAACTGAGCTTACAAAGAGTTTGGGCCTGGGGGCTGCAGCCTAGCTGCTCCCTTCATGGTTTCTGGAGTCCATTTGATGTTGCAGACAAGACAGGCTAGCCTGGAATTAAAATGCAGCTGGCTATATGCTGGGTTCTCTGGAGAGTCCTTGTAGTGATAATGACACCCTGGCCCCTACGCTGAACATTCTGACCCACAGAGTCCAGGATGGGTTCTTAAGGCCTGGGAGTACTTTTCAAAACTCCACACTGATTGTAGTGCATAGTTAAGATCAAGAACCATTGTCGCTAATCACCACGTGCATGGTTAAATAATGCCACTATCCAGCTAGTTGCTTCCAAAACTTAGAAATTACCTTCTAGTGCAGCAATGAAAATATTTGGATCAGCATAAATATTCTTGATTTCCAGGCTTGAGGGAAATAAGTAAGAGGAAGTAGTCTGTGTTGATGTACATTTAAAGACTTAGTTTTCATGTGGCTTGTTTTTATAGTTTTCTTCCTGTTTGAAAGAAAAAAAAAAGGCAGGTACACCTTTAGGAAGCCATGTTGATAGAGGAGTACTTGATGCAAATTGAAGCTGTATTTTCCTATTTCACATTCCATCAGAATGGTTGATAAATTCTTCTCAGAGTACCTCTGTGAAAAGTAAACTTGCCATCTTGAATTTCTTAAGTATGTGTCCATTGTGAGCACTTGTCGTTGTATTGTTTGTAGATTTGCTAATGTATTTGACTTACTCACAGCTATGTCATTCCTACTTTTCATTATGTAAAAATAAGGTCTGGCGAAGCAACCAACCTAGTCTGATGCCTTGGAACATAGAGTGCTGGAGGTAGTTTATGTGCAGAGGATACTTGATGAGAAAAGAAAGACCTGGCAGATTAAGTGACTAACATGACTTTTCCATGTGCTTACCCAGCCCTGTTCTAGATGGAATCCTTCCAAACAGTTTCTTTCAATCGGTCTTGCCTAAAGGATCATCATTTCAGCCTTGTAGACTGTAACTAATCAGCTAATCTCCAAGGGACATTAGGGGTTTTGCTGGAATGAGCTTACCAGAGAGCATGAGCATCTATACCTAAATTTAGGTTTTGGAGTTCTTATTCTAGCCTACCATGACTCGTGAAGCCATGTTTTCCCATAGCTCTTAACCCTTTCCTTCCTTCAGAGCCATTTTCTTCTGGGTGATGCTCTGCTGTTAGGACTATAAAGTGCCCCTAGCTGCCTCTGGCAGCCCCGCAGTGCAGGGTGACATTTATCTACCTGTGCTTCATCCTAAGGGAACCTCACTTCACTATGAGTTTGTAAATCACGAAGACAGACCCGGGTAGGTTTTCCTCAGACACAAGTGCCTGTACCATATTTGTGTTTATTGTTCACAGTTGGAACTCAAAACAGACAACAACCCCCAATTTCCCTTATGTGCTCCCAGCGAACTGCTGTCTCACGAAAGAGAAATAAAAAGAAAAAAGTGCTCCCAAAGACTGTGGAACCTGTGACTGTGAAACCAAAGCCCAGTCCATTGGAAGTTGAGAAGAAGCCAGCAGCTGTGGCCACAAGGCCATCTGGTCTCCAAGTCACAGAGCACACCTCCAGTGAGGACAGCCGCATCCTGGGATTTGGCATTGTTCTCGAATCACCTTCCTCAGATGTAAGTTGATATTTTCTGGCTGCCAACCTAGTTGATTGAAGTTTTAGGAACCTTACAGTGTACTTTCCATCTAAGTAGTTCTGCCCAAAAAAAGTAGAGAAACTTGGAGGAGTACAACTTACAGCAACCATAAGAACCGCCTTGCCTGGGGTTTCCTTCTCTGGAAAATGTACGGCTCCCTTATTCAAAGGCCCTTATCTCTGAAAGAAGGGTGTGCTGCTAATAATCTGCTCACTAATTTCTTTTAAGATTTTTAATTTCCAAGTGGCAGTTTTCAATTTCCTCAGTGTAGAAAACTAAAAGAACATAATTAAATCCTTTGTAGATGGGCATAAATGAACACAGACGCATACAGATAAGGTCATACCTTTGTGGAAACACAAACTAAGAATAAAAAGGAGCAGTGGTGCTAATTCTGTTTTATAGATGCAAGCCACACTGCTAATTAGGTGGCAGTGTCATGCCATTTACTCCGCGTAATAATAGGTTAACGCTCTGCAAAGGTTTGCTATTTTAATATCATAGCTAGAGTGTTGTTGCCGTCTAGGATGGTAGATTGCATCTCAGATATCCATCTGACTTGCTGTTTTATATTCATAGGACCGTAAACGAATTTCTATCATAATGTGCTGAATTTGCAGCTGCATACTCTATTTACAATATCTTTATCTAAAGTACATTTATGTTGTGAACCCCAAGTTGTTGGCAGAGTTCTTAAAATAAACAAGAAAAAGTGATTCATTATTAGCAGGTTGCATAGGACTGGAGTTTGGCCCTACCTTCTAAACTTTAAATAAGAAACAAATTGCTAATTTTGCAAAAGTAGTCTATTTTGAATTATAGGAAGACAGTTTGCTAGCATAGATCCACAGTTGAGTCTTTAATGAAGAGCAGCAATGAAAACAGTTATCTCGCTGTGTTTTCCAATTAGAAAATCCGTAGTATTTTCATCCAGTCCTCAGTGTTAAAAGAGGCATTTTGTTTTCATCCTAAGTATATGCCACAACCATTAAGCTCTTCTAAATTAATATTTAATTTGCAAAATCCTTTGTGGTAATGAGGTTCTGTATGGAATCAGTTCCCTCATTTAATGGTATCATATCATCACTATGGCAAAAGCCTGGTTCAAGCCCTAGGTAAATCATATATTTGAAAACAGGTAAAATATTCCACAAAGTACAGTTAAGCTGGGTTTTTTTTTGACACACTGTCGTATTTTCCTTAAAATTCTTTTCTGATAGTCATGGAACAGTAATTGAGACTAGATCATCTCTTATATAGGTATGTCTAGTGTCATTAATAATTGAATTATCCCTTTTATTGTCAAAGTTCCAAGTGTGTTTTAGCTATAAGTTGGAGGTCTGGTAAAAACCCTGTGTATATTTACAGAATAGAATAGAATTATTATTTTTACCAACATCAGTATTTTTATGTAATATATACATAAAAATAATTAACATTTATTCATGGCTATTTTCGGCAACAAGAGCTACTAAATTGGAGTAAGCACATTCAGAATTTTTCATGAAAACTCAGGTGCCAATTGTCTTTGCACAATAGATGACTCAATTTTAAAACAAGGCAGGAAGGCTATAAGTATATCGTCCTTACAGTACCCATCTGATAATACCGTTTGATTCATCTCTTCAGTAGATACTGAACCTGCACCAAGAGGACTTGGCAGTGAGTCCCTGCACTGGCTGTGAAAATGCTGTGCATGGATGGTACTCATAGGCACTCATGAGGCTAACCTTGCAATTCCTGGGATGAGGGATAGGACTTGAATCCCCCCAAAAGGGTTCTCTGTGCTGAAGTATCCAACTTAGGTGCCTTTCTAATCTTTTAATATTTCTTAGCTATGAGGCTATAAAAATTTTAATGGAAGTATACAGGAAATAATTCTTCTAATTTTATAGCAATTATTCTATAAAACAAGTTGAAGAAAATATAAGGAGATGGGAATTTATTTGAAAATGGTCTCTGTGTTGAGAGGACCAAGTCCAAAGTCAGAGTATAGAGCATTTGGTCCAAGGTTTGTAGAATAGCTGACCGGCTTTGGAAAAGTAGAATACTTCCAGGAGCGGCACCTTGATATGGCATGTGAAGTGTCTTCCATTTTCATCCTGGGACAGTATGTCACATTATGAATGACAGACGGATGAGAAAGAGATACTAGAGCAGTGCTTCTCAGTCTGTGGGTCATGGCCCCTTAGGAGGTTGAACAACCCTTTCAAAGGGGTCACTAAGACCATCAGGAAACACAGATATTTACATTACACAACAGTAGCAAAAATACAGTTATAAAGTGGCAAATGAAAGTAATTTTATGGTCGGGGTCACCACAACATGAGGAGCTGTATTGAAGCGTCACACATTTGGGTGGTTGAAAACTGCTAATCTAGAGTCTAGGCGGACAGAAAGAAGATCCCTATAGTTAATCATGCAAAAGTGCTAAGCCTGAAAGGGAAGTGAGAGCCATTGAGGTTGCTGAAGGCCAAGCAAACCCCTGATCTTTGTCTTGGGAAGGGGGAGGGTGGCCAGCAGTTTTATCAGCAGCTTTACCCACAATGGGAAGAATAAGCACGAAGTTGGCTTTCTGTTCTGGATATGAAGCCAGGTTAGTATCCTCGAATATTTAGACCCTGTCAACATAAGAGAAAGATCGGTGTTAAGCTTCACACCTTTGCTAATTGCTAATTTTTTTTTAAAAGTGGATTATTCTTGACACATTACAATGTATTAAGTTACTCTTTTTACATTAACTTGACTTGTCACACAAATTTAATTGTGTATTCATAGCACAAACCCAAATGTAAGAGCCCATGTGGGTCTGTAGATCACTAGGGTAACTCCCATCTTCTGAGTGATGATTGTGTCTACCCAAAATCCAGGAATGCACAAAGCTCTAGCCAAGACCCCCTGAAATATCAATGCATTTAATGATATGTCGTATATGGGAAAATCCTATTGCACTGCCTTGTATGTAAAAGGTACTCAATAAATGTAGTTTACTCTGCAAATGACAAAACATTTACCCATGTATAAAACACCTTACACAAAATAAACTTTCAAAACACTGGGTCCAGATTTGGCTTCAGTTACAGGCCACTCCTGTAAGTGCCATTTACTTGCTTTTGTCCCTCAACATTTGAACAATTCTCATTTATGGAGACTTCAGTGTTTTGTTTTATTTGTTTGTTTCTTTCTTATTTTCATGATTTTGTATCCTTTCATAGCAGCTTCTCAAGAGCAGGCATATATTGTAAGAGTGGTAATACTCATGTAACATCCTGTGTGTTATCTCATTTGGTCCTTACTCTTGGAGGGCTTCTTACTGTGATCCTCTTACAGGGAGCCTCCACAAGTGGGCTGGGTCAAAATCTACACGAAGTATCCACTCCAGTTGTCATCTGCCCTTGTTCACTGTGGGAAAGACCTTGGGTGCCCACTTAAGTACACGTCACATCATCTTTTGAATTTTTAATATATATGGGTATTTTGTCTTCATGTATGTGCATGCACTATGTGTTTGCCTGGTGCCCATGGAGGCCAGAAAAATTTGTTGGACTCCCTGAAGTGGGGTTACAGACGGTTGTGAACCACTGTGTCGCACCCCAGTCCTCTGGAAAAGCATCCAGTGTTCTTCACCACTGAGCCATCCATCTCTCCGGCCCTCATTAAGCACCCAGTATGACTGATGAGAACCAAGTGGTTAGAGTGTGACTTTTTAATTCTGTTTACTTGGCACTTTCTCAGGAGACAAGTAAGTGGTTAAAGGAGCAGACTGCTGGCTTAGGGTCTCAGCTCTGTGACCCTGAGCAAGCTAACCCTGGTCCTCACTCAGCATCCTCCCTATAAATGGGAGTAGCAATGCCTTCCTCACAGAATTGGCCTCCTGGAAGAATTAATGAAGCCTTCTATGTAAAGCACTGAGGACGGGACCTGGCACATTTCAAGCACTCAATAAATACTGGTTCTTTTTCTAACCTTACCGTTCCTTCCTAAGTACCTTAGAGGAACAAGTGTAAATACGGTTAAGTAAATTTAGCTGTCTGTATAAATGATCAGATGCACGTGAACAAATAGTGTTTTGGGGGAGGAAATAGCTGGGGGTGGGGGGCTTCACATATAGGGTGTGATTATTTGACCCTTTTAAAATTAGCACTTAAATAGAATTCAGACCTAAATTACACAGAGGCAAAACCCAAACCCAATTCTAAGATTCAAATATGTTTATCTAATTCTTTTTTCCTGAATCCACAGCACAATGCTCTATTAATACTGAGACAATACAGTTGCTCATTTCTTATAGTCACTGTTGATGTGTTCTTTCTTAGGGCAGATGTACCTGAACTACGTTAGCTTTGTTTTTGTTAATGCTGAGTTCCATTTTGTTTTGTTTGCTTTGCTTTATTGAACCACTCAGACAAGCTTTAAAAAACGATTTCATAAATTTTAATCATAGAAAATGTTTTTATTCAATGGAGTTATTATAAATACTCTCCAGTAATTCTAGATTGCAAAAATTCTAAATTAACAGAAGACAAATGATGAATATTCATCAGTTTAAGATAATTTTGTTAATCCTGATCTTGTATGCTTCTTAAATAATTTTAAATGCATTGGTGCCTTCAGCAAAAATAATTTCTTAATTCAGAGGCTTGCTTGATACCATCGTATCTCAATAGATAAAAGGTTCTGCTAGGATCAATTAAGGTAAGTCATGGAAATCATTATTCTGTTTACTCATTGGCACAAAGGTACATGTGTGTGAGAACCTAAGTTTCTATGGCAAGCTGCTTGGGTTCAAATTCTTGCCTTATCGTGTTAGTTGGATGGTGTCTAACAAGTTTCTCAGCTTCCCTAGACCTTGGTTTTGCAAGTGAAGCCTGGGAATAATGATGGTAGCCACTTCATAGAATGAGAAAAATGAGAAAATTGATAAATTCTGTGATGCTCTAGGGCAGTGGTTCTCAACCTGGCTGTTGAACAGCCCTTTC